ATCTGTTCGTCGAATCCGCGAAGATCCACGAACAGTCTAGTCACGTATTTTTTGCACATTCGCTGAGGCAAATAGTTCGGGGGTAAATCAAAGGTGTAGTCGATGCCCTGCTCGAAGCGTGGCCTAAGAGACCACCGCGAGGGGCCGAAGAGGTCTACAATACGGCCGCAGGAGCCCCCAAGAGCGATACAAGAGTGGAGACAGGAACCTCCACCCGGACCCTAACGGCCTCGGGCGTTTACTGAACAGCCCTGCCCTGTTCGATTCCTTCCGTGGGTGCGTTTGCTGAACGGCTTCGCGCGTCGGACCAAGGGGACCCCCAACGGCCCCTTTCATACCCCAAGGGTAGTCCAGGAGGCGCTCACAGCAAGAGATCCGTGAAGACATCTTCCTCGTCCTCATTGCCCTCTTCTCTCCTTCATCATCCTCATCCTCCTCGTCGTCGTCGTCGTCCTCCTCCTCCTCCTTCGCCTCCTCCCCCTCACCATCATGGTCCTCTTCCCACTCCTGCTGCTCTCGTTCTCCACCTCGGTGCGGGTCGCCCTTGTTCACCCCAGGACATACAACTTCTCCGTGCCCGACCGCGAGTACTGCACGGACCTGGACGGGCTCCTTGGCTACTTGAACGATAAGATATCGGACGGGAACATCTGGGGGGATGGAAACATACCAGTGCGCATCCGCGACGTTCGCTCCTCCACCTCTTCCTCCCTCTCCTCCTAGGGTGGTTCGTGTGAGTCGATCCTTCGTCAAGCCAAAAGACAATGCCGATTGCCAGCCCCTCCTAGGATGTGGGGGTCAGACCGAGCTGCTGATCGGCTCCGCATTCGAGTGGCGTGCGTGGGGGTGAGGCGGTGTTGCGTTAGGGGATCGCTGGCCGTGACTCTGGGCGCTCTCCGCAAACATAATTGGAGAGGCCTTACGGCCGGTGCCGTCGACCCTGAACGACGATGACGACGACCACGACGACCAAGACGACCACGACGACCACGACGACCATTACGACGACCACGACGCCCACGACGCCCACGACGACCACGACGACCACGACGACCACGACGACCACGACGACGACGACCACGATGATGACGACGACGACCACGACGACCACGACGACGACCACGACGACCACGACGACCACGACGACCACGACGACTACGACAACCACGACCACGACGACGACGACGACGAGGACGACAACGACGACGACGACGATGACGACGACGACGACGCCCTGGGATTCCTCAGAGGGGTGGTATTCTGACTCGGGACCCCTCCCAGGGACCCCCCCCCCAGGACCCCCCCGCCCGGGACCCCCTTTGGGACCCCCCTTGGGACCCCCCCCTGGGGCGGGGAAGGGATCAGAGGGAAGGGGCTTCCCTTCGATTTAATGTCAACGTCCGTCATTGTCGTTTCGGCTGGAACGTTGGAGGAGAAGGACTCGGAACGGAAAACACAGGGAGTGTTGACGGCGACGGCGACTTCGACGAGGACGACGACGACGACGACGACGACGACGATGTGTCATCCACACGCCGACAGGGTCGGCGGATTTTGCTCTCCGCCAGGGGCGGTGCCCCATGGATTTTCCCGCGGTTGTCCCATGCGTTTGTCCTGCGGTGGTCCTGCTTTCACCGATTGTCCCGCGTTTGTCCTGCGGTAGTCCCGTGCGGTTGTCCCGTGCGTTTGCTCTGCGGTTTTGCCTGCGGGTGTCCCGTGCTGTTGCTCTCGTGACGTTGTCCCGCGCGGTCGTCCCGCAGCCGTGTCGCTGTGGTCCCGTGCGGGTGTCCCGCCTCGACCCCTCGTGTTTGGGTCGGATGATCAGGTCGTCGGTCGGGCCCTCGCATGCATACGCGCACACACACCTGGGGCCCACCCAACGCATCTGTTCGACTTCAGTTCGACTCAAGGTCGACTCAGGTTCGACTCAGGTGCGACGCAGGTGCGACCCAGGTGCGACTCAGGTGCGGCTCGAGTCGAAGGCGTTCGAAGCAGCTTCGACGCACGAGTTGAACGAGTGGTTCCAAGAAGGTCCCCATAATGATAATATAGCACGTTTGTATGCATATGTTCATGTATACATGTACACACACATCTACGTTTATTCATACATAGGAATCGCTGGCGAGGTCGTTAGACAGTTCGCTAGGTACATCGGTAATCACATCGTTGGTACAGAGGTCGGTCGTTGTCCTGTTCGCTAGATCCTGTTCGTTCGTTACGAATGCATGGGGGTACGTATTCATCCAGCTGCCTACGGCAAGTCCCGCCACCATGCCTGGGTTGTGGGTTCTAGGCCTCCCGGATGTTGGGATATCGTGGGAGGTCTCTCGGGGTCCTTTGGGAGGCAGTTTTGAGGTTTCTTGGGGGCCGTCTGGGGGCATTTTTGGGGTCTCTTTTGGGCCTCTTGGGGGCCTCTTGGGGGCCTCTTGGAGATCTCTTGGGGCTTCTTAGAGGCCTCTTGGGGAATCCTGGGGGCCTCGTCGGGCAGACGGCTAGAATTGTCGGTTCGTGTTTCCCTTTTTGGGCCGTCTTGGGGCTCCTTTGGGCTGTCTTGGGCGCCTCTTGGGCCGTTTGGGGCCCTCTTGGGCCGTCTTGGGACCCTCTTGGGGGCCTCTTGTGCCGTTTTGTGGCGGTCTTGGGGGCTCCTGACGCCGTCTTGGAGCGTTGGAAGCTCGAAAAGGCGATAACTTGACAAAAAAGCGCACACAGTGCAAAACAATGACTTTTGCCTCTGGGCCCTCGTGGAGGTTCTCTTGGAGCGCCCCTTGGGGCTTCTTTTGGGGCCTCTTTGTGCCGCCCTGTGGCCATCTTGGGCGCCTTGGAGCGCTCTTGGCATGTCTTGGAGGCCTCCTGGCCGGCCGCGGTGGACTTCCTGGGCCGTCCTGGAAGGTCTGGAGAGCTCCGGGGAGGCGCCACGGCCGCCCAAGGATTGGTGGACGACGATCAATGGACAGGAAGCATGTTGCCAAATGATTTCCAGATGTCCAAACCATGTGTTCAACCTGTGTAAGACATGCAACATGTCAAAACATGTCTTGCACATTTTTTAGAACCTTTTAGTTTCAATGATCGGATTGTTGGGGTGTCCATTGTCATGGCATCCACAACCCAAGGACGGGGTGGTGCAGTCCCCTGGGTGCTACCGGGAGGGCGGGAGGGTCCTTCAGAAGATTGCAGCAGCTCTGTCAGGCAGCCCTCGACAGTCTTCGACGCCTCCACGTGCCGCAGGCACGGCGGCGGATCTCAGACGTAGTATCGCCAGCCAATGCGATTTCACCATGCCGTATGTCGAAGATGCTTACGGCGAATCACCGCCGCCCCCTGGCTTTTAGGATACGCCTGTGTGGCCAAATGTTTGGGCAACGTTTGGCCACGCGATTGTGTCATACGTTCCCGCAGCCGTTGTGGAAGCCATTCGGGTAGCACGTGGGGCAGGAATATGAGGATGAGAAGAGGGAGGAACAAGGAGGATGATGAGAAGGATGAGGAGACTTTTTGGGAGCTTCCTGGGGAGCCCTTGGGGCCGCCTGGGAGCTTCACGAGGGCCTCTTGGAGGCCTCTTAGGGGCCTCCTGGGGCCTTGGGGATCTCTAGGGGCTTCCTGGGGGCCTCTTGTATAGTTGTAAGGCTTTCCTGACCCGTCTGACGTCGTCTGAATCTAAGCTACAGGGGGCGGCGGATGTAGTGGTCTTCGGTTCATACTGCCACCGTGCCTGGGTTGTGGGTCATAGTCCTCATGCATGCTTCCTGGGGTCTCTTCGGAGGGTTCTCGGTGGCCTCTGGGGCGCAGTTGGGACGCCTCTTGGGAGCCTCTCGGGACCCCTCTTGGGAGCCTCTTGGGGGCCTCTTGGGGGCCTCATGGGGGCCTCATGCGGGCCTCTTTGGGGGCCTCTTGGGGGGCATCTTCGGAGCTTTCTTTCGGCCCTCTTGAGGGGGCCTCTTGGGGCGGAAAGCTCGAAATTCCTGTTCGTGCTCCCTCTCTTGGATCCCTCCTGGGGCGTTCTGTGGGTCCTCTTGAGCCGTCTTGCAGGCCTCTTTCTTGGGCTGTCTTGGGTGCCTCTTGGGCCGTCTCGGCATCCTCTTGGGGGCCTCCTGGGCCGTCTTGTAACCTCGGGAACCCCGAAAGGCGGAAACGCTCAAATCCTTGAACAGCTGAAGGAAACACGGATTTCTGCATCTTGGGGCCCTCTTGGGAGTGCTGTTGGATGCCTCTCGGGGCGTCTTGAAGGCCTCTTGGGCAGTCTTGGAGCCATCCTTGGCGTCTTGGGGTGCTCTCGGACTGCCTGGGGTGCCTCTTGGGCCATCTGGGCAATTCTTGGGGCCCTCTTGGCTCGTCATAGTGGCTTCGGTCCTCTAGAAAAGTCACGCGGGGAAGCCCGGGAGCGCGCGGGAGTGCGCGGGACCGATTTAAGTTTTTTGTTCCTTGCCCCTCATTCGAATTTACAGGACTGGACACAGAGCACAGAACTCTGGAAGCCGGGGGAACACTCCACTTCGTTCCTCGAGACACGGTGACTGATACATGCACATACATGTTCAGTTAGTTCGTTCGCCAGATAGCGAAATGATTTGACAGATGGCATTGCCATTAGCTGTAATGTGATGTCTACCGTAGGATGCAGCCCCACCTTCAAGCACTGCGCTATTTCCTCCGTCGTACCAATATGGCCGATGCTTGTCAATCGAGTCGCAATAGTTGCGACTGCAAATTTGTGAAAGTACATTTTGGTCGATCTGCCGTATCGCTGCGTTGTCATATTTCTGGTTCGTTCGCCGTACAGTTGGCACGACCGTCAGATACATGCTCAGCCCAGCAGTTAGAAAAGTAGGGCAAACCTGTGCTAGGCCATCGCAAGCCGATACATGCATCCACCCAAACCTCCTTCTCACCCGAGCGTTGGCCTGTATTTGCGTGGTATGGGTATGCTTTCGTCCTCCCAACATCTGCCTGTACTGCAACCGGAAGTTCCCGGACGCCGCGAGCGTTCGCCGCCACATGCTCGACAAGAACCACACCCGCATCGGCACTCCGGCGAACAGAACGCTTCGTCAACCAGCGCCGATCCCCGTCGTCCATCCTCCTTCGGCGGCGAGCCCAGGGGGGAAACCAGAGCGGGCGGGCCTTCTCACAAGGCTTGGAAGGCCCCGGGCCTTAAAACTTCTAGGCCTTCCCTGCAGACAGACATTTCCTGAAGAAGGTGCGAGGGCCTCCGAGAAGCCCCGCCGCCTTCTTGGCAGGGTCTGCCCCCTCTAACTTCCCCCCTGGGCTGAAGTCGGGCCTGTCCCCCTACAGGCCGATTTTGGAAAACAAATTAAATGTGCAAATATTTTTAAACATGCAAAAATGGTCAAAAAGCGTCCCCAGACTATTTTTTGATTATCCCTCTGCAGGAGGAATATTAAAAAATAGCAGCAAAATAGTCTGGGGACGATTTTTCGACTAAATTTTGAGCATTTGTTTGGTATTTTTTGACTATCTTTAATTTGTCATCCAAAATCCGCTTGTAGCTAGTGGGCACGCCCGACCTAACCCTGGGCTGTCTCAACATAGTGACCCCGACGCGTGCCACCGCGGGCGGCGCCATGGTGTTGGGACCGCGCTGGCTACTCCTACAGGGCTCGAACTGGAACGGTGTCTTTGCGATCTCGTGGGCCGTTCTCGTTCTGACCTCGTCTCGCAGCAGAGGCAGACTGACGACAGAGCGAAGGAGTGCAAGCGCACAACGAACACGAAAAACACTTTTTAGCCCGAGCCCCGTACACCTGCGGGGGGCACGCGCAGACGGCCCCCGGATGCAGCCCCCTCTGCTCCAGAGGAGGCCCGCAGGGCCGCCCTTGGCGGTCTCGGCGCAGTGCGGCCCGACGCGTCGCGCCGCAGGCGGCGCCACGGTGTCGGGGCCGCCTGCCGCTGCTGCTCCGCCTGCCCCTCCTCCCTCCTCCTCCCTCCCTCATCCCTCGTCTCTCTCCTCCCTCCTCTTCCTCCTCCTCCTCCTCCTCCTCCTCCTCCTCTTGCCTTCCTCCCTCCTCCCTCCTCCCTCCTCCCCCTCCTCCTCCTCCTCCTCCTCCTCCTCCTCCTCCTCCTCCTCGTCCTCTTCCTCCTCTTCCTCCTCCTCCTCCTCCTCCTCCTACCTCCATTCTACCTCCTCCCTCCTCCCTCCTCCCTGCTCCCTCCTCCATTCGCCCTTCTCCCTCCTCCCTCCTCCGTTCTACCTCCTCCCTCCTCCCTCCTCCATCCTCCCTTCTCCCTCCTCCCTTCTCCCTGCTCCTTCCTCCTTTCTCCTTCCTTCTCCTTCCTCCCTCCTCCCTCCTTTCTCCTTCCTCCTTCCCTTCTCCTCCTCCTCCTCCTCCTCCTCCTCCTCCTCCTCCTTCCTTCTACACTGCCTCCCTCCCCCCTTCCCCTCCTCCCCATCTCCATCCGCCTCCCCCTCTCCCTTCCCCTCCGCGGCCTCTCAAGGTGGAGGAGGAGGAGGAGAAGGAGGAGGATGCTGATGCTGATGCTGCTGCTGATGATGATGCTGATGATGAGGAGGAGGATGAGGAGGACGAGGAGGAGGAGGATGCTATCTCACGTTGTGGTCCAGGAAGTGAGAAGAACGAGCTCTGGACCGCAACCCGACCTGACTCCAGGGTTTAGGTCACACGCCAGCCTCCAGACGATTCAAGGCTTCTCGTTTGTGTGGCTCGGTCTTCTGAGAACATGGGTTCGTTAGCTCACGCATGGAAACACGAGCATAGAAGCCACGAGCTTGACACGACCAGACGTTGTGGGCTCGTTGAGGCCGCATCTTGTGAGACACAGGCGCGCCCCCCCCGCGATATGGAGTCGACCCCCACAGGAAGAGCTACATACATTTCATTAACAGGGGTAGGGGTTGCCCAGCCTCCCTGGCTGGAGCCCCCCCCTGTGGAGTCGTGGCTGGTGGGGGTTCTCCACCTACCTCCAAGGTGAGCGGGCCGCACGTTGGCGGGCCGCGGGGTGCTTGGGGCCCGCGGCATTTGACGCGCGCTTCCGCTGGCATGACTGAAAGGAACGAGCAGGAGAAGGTGAGACGAGCAGAATCATGCCGTTCACGATGCGTGGCGACATCCTTTCCGACACCTGTGCTCCGAGAAGCGAGGGCCGAGGCGGCCCACTGGGCGCGGGAGGCTGCACGGGCGGGCGGGGCCCCGCTTCCTCGGCCAGCAGCGCGTCCAGGGGCGCGCGGGGCCAGCGCTGCCGCACCAGCCAAGCGCCGCGTTCGTGTCGAAGCAGCTTTTGCCGACGTCCTCGAGGCATCTGGGCACGGGTCACGGCTGGAGGGGTTTTCCGAAGCGCTTCGGCGACCCCTCCTCCTCCTCCCTCCTCCTCCTGCTCCTCCTCCTCTTCCTCCTGTTCCTCCTGTCCCTCCTCCTCCTGCTCCTCCTCCTCCTCCTCCTCCATCTCCCCCTCCCCCTCCCCCTCCTCCATCTCCTCTTCCCGCTCCCCCTCCTCCTCCTCCTCCTCCTCCTCCTCCTCCTCCTCCTCCTCCTCCTCCTCGGATCGCCTGCATCCCTGGGGGGACGTCGTGCGCTGCCGCGCCAGCCAAGCGCGACGCCCGCGTCGAGGCACCTCTTGCCGACGTCCCCGGGGGATCCGGGCGCGGGTCGCGGCCTCCGACGTCGGGTGAGCTGCAGCAGCGTGGCCTTCCACATCCGCTGAAGGGGGGCGGTGGTTCTCGATCGTTCTGCTGGGCTCGAAGGTGAGGACACCTCGCCAGCGTTCTCCGACATGTCAGCTGGGAACACATGAGGATTGACGGCAGGCATGGTGACTGGAGCCCGTCTATATTTCATATGTTGCCCCATCCGAAGCCTGAGATCCACATCCACCCACGAATATTCCAGACACGCATGGCCGCAACGCCCGTGATGGCGGAGTCGTTGTCCGTCACATAAACGATGCGACCATCTGACGGTCTGAATGCAAACGCAACCGCGCACAGTTCGCCGTGGGGTTCACAGTGCCGAAGGTCTGGAAGTCCTCCAGACACTGCACTGAAACTGAAGCAGGTGTGTGGAACGGCACAACAGCTAATCCAGCCCTTCGCAATCAGGTGCCGCCCGAATCCTTGCCACCAGAATCGTTTCCACATATCAGGATGGGGTGCATTTCGGACCCGAAGCCTGAAGCTCCAGGAACATACAGATTTCAACCCGCAGTCCACCAATCTTCCTGGGTCTTAGCTGGCGGCACAGCAGTGGCTGAGGATAAAAATAGCCCTCGAAACCAAACTCCTGGCTCTGCAACGGATTCAGAAAAACTTCGGCGGCCAGCAATGCCGACTGCACGTGCGTTGCAGCACCATTGTTATCGTCGCACACCCAAGCCCTGTGGAACGCGGCCTCGCGGGCTTTCTGACACGGGCTCCCTGGGTGGCTGCGGGCAACCGTCGCCACTTTCGTGGGCCCCTGGCGAGGTCGGCGGAGTCGAGGGCCACGCAGATCCAGCCGAGACCTCGCTGTTCTTTGGGTGGCTGCGAACTTTCGTGGGCTCCTGGCAAGTCCAGCGGAGTCCAGGGACACGCAAATCCAGCTGAGACCTTGCTGTTCCTGGGTGGTTGCGAACTGCGCAACCGTCGCCACTTTCGTGGGCTCTTGGGAGGTCCAGTGGAGTGGAGGGGCAGGCGCATCCTTTTGAGCCCACCTTGCTGGTCCCAGGGCGGCTGCGAACTGCGCAGCCGTCGCCACTTTCGTGGGCTCCTGGGAGGTCCAGCGGAGTCGGGGGCCACGCAGATCCAGCCGAAACTTCGGTGCTCCCTGGGCGGCTGCGAACTGCGCAACCGTCGCCAGTTTCGTGGACTCTTGGCAAGTGCAGCGGGGCCAAAGGCCCCGCGCATCCATTTGAGACCTCGCTGTTCCCTGGGCGGCTGCGAATTACGCAACCGTCGCCACTTTCGTGGGCTCCTGAGAGGTTTTGCGGAGTCGTGGGGCGCGCAGATCCATTTGAGACCTCGCTGCTCCCTGGGCGGCTGCGAACTGCGCAGCAGTCGCCACTTTCGTGGGCTCTTGTGAGGTCCAGCGGAGTCGGGGGCCACGCAGATCCCGCCGAAACCTCGGTGCTCCCAGGGCGGCTGGCGGCTGCGATTTGCGCAACCGTCGCCACTTTCGTGTGCTCGTGGCAAGTCCGGCGGGGTCGGGGGACACGCTTATCCATTTGAGACCTCGTTGCTCCCTGGGTGGCTGCGCAACTGTCGACACTTTCATGGCCTCTTGGGAGGTCAGCGGCGTCGGGGGCCACGCGCATCCATTTGAGACCTTGCTGGTCCCTGGGCGGCTGCTTACAGCGCAGCCGTCGCCACTTTCGTGGGTTCCTGGGAGGTCCAGCGGAGTCGGGGGCCACGCAGATCCATTTGAGACCTCGCTGGTCCCTGGGTGGCTGCGAACTGTGCATCTGTCGCCACCTCCGTAGCCTATCGGGAGGTCCAGCGGAGCGGGGGCCACGCGCATCCATTTGAGACCTTGCTGGTCCCTGGGCGGCTGCGAACTGCGCAGCCGTCGCCACTTTCACTTTCGTGGGCTCCTGGGAGGTCCAGGGGAGTCGGGGGCCACGCGCATCCATTTGAGACCTCGCTGCCCCCTGGGTGGTTGCGAACCTCGCAACCGTCGCCACTTTCGTGGGCACCTGAGAGGTTTTGCGGAGTCGGGGGCAACGCAGATCCAGCCGAGACCTCGCTGCTCCCTGTGTGGCTGCGAACTGTGCAACCATCGCCATCTTCGTGGTCTCTTGGTATGTCCAGCGGAGTCGGGGGCCACGCAGCGCCATTTGAGACCTCGCTGCTCCCTGGGTGCCTGCTTACAGCGCAGCCATCGCCATCTTCGTGGTCTCCTGGGAGGTCCAACGGAGTCGGGGGCCACGCGCATCCATTTGAGACCTCGCTGCCCCCTGGGTGGTTGCGAACCTCGCAACCGTCGCCACTTCCGTGGGCTCCTGAGAGGTTTTGCGGAGTCGGGGGCCACGCAGATCCATTTGAGACCTTGCTATTCCTTGGGTGCTGCGAACTGCGCAACCGTCGCTAGTTTCGTGGGTTCCCGGGAGGTCTTGCGGAGTCTGGGGACACGCATATCCATTTGAGACCTCGCTGCTCCCTGGGTGGCTGCGCAACACTGTCGCCACTTTCGTGGGCTCCTGGGAGGTCCAGCGGAGTCGGGGGCCACGCAGATCCATTTGAGACTTCGCTGTTCCCTGGGTGGCTACGAACTGTGCAACCATCGCCATCTTCGTGGTCTCCTGGGAGGTCCAACGGAGTCGGGGGTCACGCGCATCCAGCCCAGACCTCGCTGCTCCCTGGGCGGCTGCGAACTGCGCACCCGTCGCCACGCTGTTCCTTGGGTGGCTGCGAACTGCGCAACCGTCGCCACTTTCGTGGTCTCTTGGGAGGTCCAGCGGAGTCGTGGGCCACGCAGCTCCATTGGAGACCTCGCTGCTCCCTGGGTGGCTGCTTACCGCGCAACCGTCGCCAGTTTCGTGGGCTCCCGGGAGTCCTGCCGGCCGCCCAGTGCTCCTGCATTGACGTCAGAGAGTTCATGAAACTTGGGAGGGGGAAGGGGGGAGGTTTGTGTTCATCCTCGGGGGAGTATCACCACCCACCAAACCACCCCAACCCAACCCGAAGGCTCAGATTTACCCTCGATTTCTAGTGGGGGGGGGTTGGGAAACATAGAAAAAACACATGTGGAACCCTTACCCCCCCCAACCCGAAATTCGGGTCTTCGGGTTGGGTTGGGGTGGTCTGGTAGGTAGTCAGAGTAGGAGCGAGGTGTTCGACGGGGGCGTGACGCCGCGAGGTGGCGGCGGCTGCGGCGTGAGTCCCCTCCTGTGGACCGCCTCGCGCTTTCTGCGCCGTCCCCCTGACCAGAGCCACCATAGGGCTCGGCAGCGGGCCGGGTGCATCAGCCACCATAGGGCGCCACCCGGCCGAACTGGAGGCCACCACAGGTTTTCCAACGGCGACCAGGTGTGGGTGGGGGGGACGGGCCAGAGGGACTGCGACACCAAGGGGGGGGGCGCCCCGTCCACCCACTTCTCCACCATAGAGGGGGTGCGAAGTCTCCGTGGACGGGACGGGGTGGGCACTGAGGGGCACCGCAGGTTCTTCTCGAGTCAAAGGTGGGCACCATACGCCCGCCACCACCAACGGAGGTTCACCGCATGTCCTCCCCCTCTCATCCCATTCAGCATTCAGTGAACCTTTCGATGCTTCAGCCTCTCTCCAGCCGAGACCTCGCTCCTTCCTGGTCGGCTGCTGGCTGCGCAACTGCCGCGCTGTTCGCTGGCTCGCCACCTTCGTGGGCTCCCGCGGGGCACGGCGGAGGTGAGGGCGGCAGAGGCCCCTTCGAGACCCCGCGGCGCCTTCGAGGGCTGCGACCTCGCGCAGCAAGTCGCCACTGCCCGGGCCTCCCGGGAGGCGGCGCGGCGTGCAAAGGCCGCGCGGCGTCCGGGCGAGAGCCCACGCCCGCTCTCGGAGGGCGCCGCCGCCACCGCTTCTCGCGGGCTCGTGGGAGGCACGGCGGGCCGCAGGGCGCCCGCACACTGCGCGCGCCCGCACGGCGCGCGGCGCCGCCGCGTCGTGCAGCGCGCGGCAGTGCTGCGGCAGGGAGCGCGGAGCGCAGGAGCGTCGCGCGGCGCACGGCGTTGTGTCCCTGGCGGCCCACGCGTGGGCGCAGGCGTGCGTCGCGCGGGGCCCGGCAGTGTTGGGCGAGAATCGTTGCCGAGTGCCGCGTACCTCGCAGCGCGCTCTTCTGCGGGGCATGTCCACATACGTTAAAACGACGCGAAGATCGGGACAAAATCGGATCGGGATAACTCGAAATCTCCGAGAATCGGCGGGTTTGGAGGATGTATTGGGCGCCGCGGCCGCTCCAGAGCGTTCCGGAACGCTCCGAGAGCGCTCCGGAACGCTCTGGAGCGATTTATCCCGATCCTAGCCCTGTTTTATACGTGGCCACCCTGCGTGGAGAAGCGCTCGGGTACGTTTCTCTCTCTCTCTCTCTCGGGTGCTTGCTTTTTGTCTGAGTGCCTCCGACTCTGACCACCAAGATCGCACCGTCTGCGTGGACAGGTGCCGTCTCAGGCGAAGAGTCTGGCAGGGTGAGAATGATGTGTCGCTGCACGGAGACATGCAGAACTGGCGCAACAAACTTAGCCCGCAAGGGCACACAGTGGACGTGTGGTAAACCGAACCATCGCATTGATCCTGCTCCCTTTCCCCCTAGTTCAGCAGAGACAAGAGGAAGGGAAGGGGGGGAACAGGAAGAGGAGGAGGAGGCGGGGGAAAAGGAGAGGGAGGAGGGAGGAGTGAAGAAGGGGATGAAGGAATGGTGATCGAGAGGGGAGCAAACGGGAAGGAAGGAGGTACCGAGGACATGATGCCACTGCTGCTGATGATACTGCTGCTGATGCTGATGATGACGACATGGTGATGATGTCTATGGTGATGATGGTGATGATGATGTTGATGACGTGTTTGGTGAGGGTGAAGATGATGAGGAGGACGATTTTGATAATTTGGGTGATGACGATTATGATAATACTGATGATGCTGCTGCTGCTGCTGCTGCTGCTGATGATGATGATGATGATGATGATGATGATGATGATGGAGGTGATGATGACGATAGTGTAATGATGAGTAGGAACGCATGCACTGACGACACGATTATGACAACACTTATGCCGCTGATGTTGATGCTGATGCTGATGCTGACGATGGTGATCACACTTATGATGGTGATGCTGATGATGGTGATCGTTGTGCTAGTGCTGCTGCTGGTAACTTGATTGCTGCTGCTTCTGATTCTGATGATTACACAGGTGATGCCGATGCCATTGATTGTGATGTAGATGGATGCCGGACATTGTCTGGATGGGATGGTGATGAGGGGTATGAGGGTGAAACTGAGGACGAAGAGGGTCATGATGAGGATTATGAAGAGGATTAGTGAGGAGTGAGGAGTGAGGATGAGGGGTGATGAACAGGAGGGGAAGGTTAGGGAAGATGAGGAGGATAATGAGGAGGAGAAAGCGAAGGAGGAAATGGGGATTTGGATGAGGAATGTCAGGAGGAGGGCAAGCGCCTGAGTATCCCCGATTGTGCCATAACACCATTCTTGGGATTTCAAGACCGCGAATCAACCAGAATGATGTTGCGTCCTGGCAGTCCTTCATCGGGCCAGACGATTCCAGGGATTTCAACACCACGAATTACAGTGACTGGCGCGTCCTGACCATCCTGGATCGCGCTAGAACGCCATCCCCAGGATTTCAACCCTACGAATCCTCTAAGCTGTTGCGACTGTCTAAATCGAATGCGCGCGGCGCTAAGGCGAGAGATACATTAGGATAACGAGCCGCCCTCCATCCTTGAAGCTGGTGTAAGCTGTTGGGACGAATGTGCGCGGCGCGACGGCGAGAGTCACATTTTGAAACGGACCCGCCCTACATCGCTTTACAATCTGTCAGGACGAATGTTCGTGGGGCTACAACGAGAGCCACTCTGAGAAAGACCCATGCTGCATCCCTGAAGCTGCTGCAAGCCTTTGCGACGACTGTGAGCGGCGCTAAGGCGCGAGCCGCATTCTGAAAATGACTAGCCCTTTGTCCTAGAAGCTGTCACGCATTTCAAGCTTCAGGATCAAAAGTGGTGAGGAAGTCTTACACGACACGCCTGGCCTTACCGTACCGTCACGTCTGGGGTTGTGACAGGGAGAATGCATTTCAATTGGAATTTCTATGGAGGCGGAGGAGGAGGAAGAGGAGGAGGAGGAGGAGGAGGAGGAGGAGGAGGAGGAGGAGGAGGAGGAGGAGGAGGAGGAGGAGGAGGAGGAGCGGCGCTCCCTTGCCCAGCTCGGGGTCCTGGTCGCCCCCCCCCCCCCGTCAGGCACCGACGCGCTGTCGCGCAGGGGCCGGAAGGACGAGCTGGGCTCCGAGGAGATGCAGGACGAGCTGCAGGACTTCTTCGACTTCACGAGCTCGACGCGGGAGGTCCGCGTTCCCCCTGCCAGCCACCCTGAGGGCACGGGGGGCCCGGGATCAATGCAGTCACGCAGAGAGACCAGGGCTCTTGCCCGCCGCAGATCACGGGAGGAAGGAGTATCCCGGCCTCCACAATCGGCGTTTTCCAAACAGCACTGGGCGTCTAGTCTACTGTCTACTGAACAGCCGTGCCCTGTTCGATCCCCTCCCTGGGTGCGCTTACTAAGCATCGCCAAGCGCGTTCCACTACCCGCAAAGTGCCTACTCGCAAACGTCCGAACAACGCATGTCCGTTTTCGATGTATTTTATCGTAGGTCACCCGCGGCGGATCCAGGCCATTTGCGAGTAGTTACTTTGCGAGTAGTGGAACGCGCTCGTCTAAAACAGCTTCTGCCCTCTGTCAGGGGAAGAGCCGGAGAGGGCCCTCGAACGTGTTCCGCTCTCAGAGGGGAGAGGGGCCCATGGTTTCTTTCCCGGCAGGCCCCGGGCTCCAGGACACAGTTCCCTCAGGACCCTTTTCCCTAGTTGTCGTCGTTGTTGTTGTCGTTGTTGTCGTCGTCATCGTCGTTGTCTTCGTCGTCGTTGTCGTCATCTTCGTCATCTTCGTATTCGCGTCGGCGCAAAAGCAGGCATAATTCCCTCCTGGCGCTTCGTCGTGAAATGGCGCGTTCGTTTTTTGTTTTTTTGTTTGTTTTATGGGAAGCCGCATTCACGTGCATGTTTTGGGTGCGGTTCAGCCCGACAATCACGGGCCCATCAGGGGCCAAGCGCCAAGCAGCTCTTCGTAAGTGGCAGTTTGTTAGCAATTTTTGTCTGAGTGCTCTGACACACAGGGTCCGCCAGGTCATTTCTGTGTCCTCCGCCCATTCCTTGAGAGGGGCGGGGCATTCTTGGCGATAGGTGACCGAGCGCATCGTGAAGCCTCAGCAGAAGGTCGCCTCGCTGCTGCGGTTTTTCGACGCGGACAGGGACGGCTTTCTCGACTTCGAGGAGCGGGCTATTGCGCGCATCCCCGCTCCCTGAGAGCAGATGGACCCGCTAGGTGCTGACACGTAAGCTACCGCATTTCTAATAACGATCGTGCTTACGTGCTTGAGGATGACAGTGGACAACTATTCAGCTGTGAGCACGGCGTATGTCGTTTGCTTCGGGGATTTGACACGCACGTGTTTGTAGTGTCTCCAGCGGGGCAAACACGCGATTTCCCGCAGGCGAGAGCAGAGACGTGCCCAGGTGGCCGGCGCTACGACATGGAGTCAGATCCTTGATGAGGCGATTGAAGGAGGAGGGTGCAGGGCGGACGTGGTTGGGAGGGGGGATTGGATTTGTGGGGGGTAAGGGTGAAGGAGGGAGCAAGTCTTTCTGTCGTTCTCTCCTGCTCGTTTTCCTTACTATTTATTTTCCTTCTCCAGCCCCGCCGACCCATTCCCCATCGTTTTCCACTCCTGCGTTGCATTCCATTCTCCCTTTTCCTGTCCTTCCTCCTCCTGCCCACTCAGTTGACGGACGGCTGGCTGAGACAATGCGTTGTCAGGTTGGTTTTAGCAGCACAAAAAACCTCCTCCTCCTCCTCCTCCTCCTCCTCCTCCTCCTCCTCCTCCTCCTCTCACTCGTCTCACTCCTTCCACTCCTGTCACCCCTCGTCCTCCTCCTCCTCCTCCTCCTCCTCCTCCTCCTCCTCCTCCTCCTCCTCCTCTCCTCCTCCTCCTCCTCCTCCTCCTCCTCCTCCTCCTCCTCCTCCTCCTCCTCCTCCTCCTCCTCCTCCCCCCCCTCCCTCCTCCTCCTCCTCCTCCTCCTCCTCCTCCTCCTCCTCCTCCTCCGCCTCCTCCTCCTCCTCCTCCTCCTCCTCCTCCTCCTCCTCCTCCTCCTCCTTCCTCCTCCTCCCCTCCTCCTCCTCCTCCTCCTCCTCCTCCTCCTCCTCCTCCTCCTCCCCCTCCTTCCCCTCCTCCCCCTCCTCCTCCTCCTCCTTCTCCCCTCCTCGTCTTCCTCCTCCTCCTCTTCCTCCTTGTCATCCTCGTCCTGCCACTCGAACGGTAGATCAGCAGTCATTGCCAGGTGCGGGAGGGTCTTGTCTTCCGCCGCCAGTTGGCTCAATGTCGACCTTACGTGCCCGGTGTAATACACCGTCGGTCTTAAACACCTCGTTACGTTCGGGGTGAAAGCGATTTTTTAAACCCATCGCTGTACATTCTCTCTACTCTCTTCGTCGGTGGCGGAACATCTCGCTCCACCAACTGCCGCCACGGCCCACGTGGCACACTGCCTTGCTCTGAGCGGTCGCTCTACATCGTCATTGACGACCCCCCGCTCCGCAGTACGTTCTACGCGTGCGCTGATGATGCGCCTCGCCGAGGCAGGCGCCGCGTCTTCGGGGACCGGCGGGGCCAACCCGGTCAAGCCGCCATCGCCAGCGCAGGAGCACAACTGCAGCTACCACGACCAGTACAAGACCAAGAACCTCGGCGCTCCCGATAGTGTGCTCCCGCCGCCGGCCGGGTGTCCCCTCTGGAGAGCACCCTACCCAGTCACATACCCATCCAGCGGCCGCCGGATGGGGATGCCACCGTGCCTGCTGGGTACCCCTGCCCATCCAGCGGCCGCCGGATGGGTATCCCGCTGTGCTGGCTGGGCATCCCTACCCATCCAGCGGCCGCCGGATGGGTTTCGTGCCAGCAGGGTGATCTTACCCATCCAGCGGCCGCCGGACGGGTATCCCGCCGTGCCGGAGCCACGCCTAGGGGAAATTGCTCTCTTGAACTGTGTTCGAGAAGCAGCTGGTGATTGAGAGACCGTTTGCTCTGTCAATCGTCTGCTGCCATTTTTGGATGGGTTGGCTGATTCGTTTTGGTGCGCCCCATGGTCAATGATGGGAGTAACTCCACTCCTGTCACGGGCGCCGTAAAAGCGTGTTTGCGTTTGGCGCCGTGGGGGCCAAATCGCCTTGGGGTGGAGCGATGCCCATCAACTACAGCACATGGTTGGTCTACCTTCCCTGTGGGCAATTTGTCATGAGGAACTTGGTCAGAAGGTTCCTTGACACTGGAACTGTTTTGCCACTTCGTTGTGTCTTATTGGTGGTCTTGACGGTGTGCGCCCTGGCCGCCGACGATGCTCAGTGGACTCGCTTGCGCACCACACTCGAACGGCAGATTGGCAGTGTTTGCCAGGTCTTAGCATCGCTCGGACGTGTGCGTTTCTTCCTCGGCGAGGACCATCGAGGAGCATCCTTGATCATCTGGCGAAAAAGCCACGCACGAAACCGAACAAAAACACAGGGAATGGACGTCCGAGCGATGGCCAGGGGCGGGTGGGCGGTGGCGGGGGCCTTGTTTTCCGCCGCCGCTTGGCTCAAGGTCGACCGTCCGCGCCCGGCAGGTACAGTGCAGGCGTTGCTCTTGGACACCGCTCGATATTCGGGGTGCAAGCACCTCGTGTACTCATCGCTCCACATTCTGAGTCTCCCTTTTTACTCCTCCTCCTCCTCCTCCTCCTCCTCCTCCTTGTCCTCCTCCTCCTCCTCCTCCTCCTTGTCCTCCTTTGTCCTCGTCGTTCCCCTCGTCCTCCTGCTCCTTCGCTCCGTTCTTCCCCCCCTCCCTCCATCCATCCTGCCTCCTCTCCTCCCAGGGATTCGCGCCTGCCTCTGTCCCTCCTCCCTCCATCCTTCCTCTCCCTGCCTCCCGGGCGCGATGAAGGCGAGGGGAAAAGGTTGGCAGAAGCGCGTTGAAGACGAGGACGCGGAATAATCTTGTGTGACCGTAGTGCGGGATGCCGCATCAGACTCTGCACAACCGCGCGTCCAGTGCACCCGCAGCTCACCGGTGGGAGTTGACGATCAGCAGGCCAGGCGCCGACTGGCCGGTGCAGAGCGGAGCACGGTCGAATCCCGAAGGATGGGGGCGAGGCGGGAGGGCGAGGAACCCCGAAGGGGAGGGGCTTGGTGGGTGGGGCGGGCAGGAGGAGCGTGGGGCGATGCTCGTTGCGCACATTGGCAGAGTCTCACCCTCTCGCTCTGCAGCTGGTTCCAGTCTCCACCTCCTCCTTCTCCTCCTTTTCCTCCTCCTCCTTCTCCTCATCGTTGTCTTCCTCCTCCCCTTCCCTTGCCCCCTTCCCCTTCTCCTCCTCGTTTTCCTCCTCCATTTCTTCCTCCATTCCGCCGGGCGTTTCACCTGAGACTTCTTCACAACGTATGATCTGTAAACACAGGATTTGCAGCAGCTTCACAGACGGAAGGACGGTGGGCCATTTTCAGAATGTGGGTCTCGCCTCAGCGCCGCGCGCATTCGTCATAAACTTTTGGAAGAGCTTCACGGATGGAGGGCGGGCGGTTTTCAAAATGTGGCTCTCGCCTGTGCGCCGCGCACATTCTTTGCAAACGTTTGCAAACGTTGCACGGATGGGGGGCGGTACGGTACTTTTTGAAGATGTGGCTCTCGCCTCAGCGTCGCGCGCATTCGATGTAGAAGTTTGCAAGGGATTCAATGATTGGGGGCGGTATTTGTTCACAATGTGGTTCTCGCCCCAGCGCCCCGCTCGCATCGGGTTCAGGGTTGACATCACTTTCAAGGATTCTTCTGGTTGACGTCCCAAAAACGGTGTTTTGGCACGGTGTGGAACAGGGCGCAGCAATTATGCTGACCCGCGGTGTTGAAGTCCCAAGAAGGGTGTTCTGACACGAGTCTGGATCGTCAGGACGCAACAGTAACGTTGGTTCGTGGCGGTGAAGTCCCAGGAATGGTGTTTGGCACGGTTCAGGATTTTCTGACGGTTGTCTTCCAACGGGGCATACCCGTCAGTGAGAATGATCTTTCTAGCGACCTATGAAGAAGAAACTTGGATGGAGGATTTGTTGCACCACTGGCCCTCCTCCTGCGCCTCCTCCGCCTCGTCCGCTTCGTCCGCCTCCTTCTCCGCCTCGTCCGCCTCCTCCTCTTCCTCCTCCTCCTCCTCTTCCTCCTCCTCCTCCTCCTCCTCCTCCTCCTTCTCCTCCTCCTCCTCCGCCTCCTCCTGCCCCCTCTCCTCGGACTGCACCCAGCGCTCAAGACAAGTCCTGCCCAGAGAGGGCCTCCCGAGCCCAGGAGCTGGGGCAGCTGTGGGCCGCGGCCAGCGGCGGTGCCCTGTCGGAGGCCCAGTACGCGGGCGCCTGCAGCATGGCTGGGGCGGACCCGGCAGACAGGGCGAACAAATCCGTGCGTCAAAGCTGTCGCAATCGCCGTCGCTGTCGGCTGCCGCTGCCGGGCGTCCCTGCCCTCGCCTTCGCCCTTGTCCTCCTCTTCCTCCTGCGCCTCCTTTCCTCCCCTCTTTCTTCTCCCTTCTCCCCTCCCCGTCCCCCTCTTCCTCTTCTGTGTTCTCGTCGTTCCTCCTCTCTTCCAGCCCTTCTCCGTTGCTCCCTCCCTGTCTCCTCCATTTCTCCTCCCTCCCTTCATCATTATTATATTCCTTCCCCTCTTTCTGATTCACCCTTCGTGCTACTCTATCGTTACATATCATTTGTTTGGTGCTCTCTCTATCTCCCTCTCCGTGTGTGTATATCTATATATAGAATTGTATACATGTACACAGGTATGACATGTCGTATCCCGTCCTCATCGTTCCTCCCTGTTCCTTATGCTCCTTCTTCCTCCTTCCTCCTTTCTACCCCCCCTCGCTCTTCTCGCGCATTCCTCATCCCCCGTTCTGCTTCCCCCTGCTCCTCCTCCCTCGACTCCTTTTCCGTTCTTCCTCCTCCTCACCTCTTCCCCGCCACCTCCCGTCCTTCTCTCCTCTTCCTCGCTTCCCTTCTCGCTCGTCGTCGTCGTCGTCGTCGTCGTCGTCGTCGTTGTCGTCGTCGTCGTCGTCGTCATCTTCCTCGCACGAGGCAGGGCCAGCAGGGGGGAGGGAGCCCCGCGTGAGTCTCACGCGAGGTGCGCTTGCGCTACCGTGGCATCGTCCCCCCTATTCGTCGTCGTCGTCGTCGTCGTCGTCGTCGTCGTGCTGCTGGTCCTCCTCCTCCTTCTCCTCCTCCCTCCTCCTCCTCCTCCCTCCTCCTCCTCCTCCTCCTCCTCCTCCTCTTCCTCCTCCTCCTCACCCCTTTACTCCCCCACCTCTCGCTCTCCCCTTCCTGCTCGAGCGCCTCACCGAGCGAATTTACGACCCTCAGGGAGAGGGCCTGGATGCAGAGGCCCTGGGCTCCCTGTACGCTGGAGGTCTTGCGGACCTGGACGCGCACTTCGTGGTGCTCCAGGACCTCCTCATGCGCAAGCTGGCCGGCAGGAGTCCGAGAGCGCAGAGAGCCTCCTCCCGTGCCAGCCCCCCAAACCCTCCTCCTCCTCCTCCTCCCTTCTCCTCCTCCTCCTCCTCCTCCTCCTCCTCCTCCTCCTCCTCCATCTCCTCCCTCCTCCTCCTCCCTTCTCCCCCTCCTCCCCTGGGGGAGCGGGGAGGAGGAGACGGGGCAGCGAGCGCGCCAGCCCCCGGTGCTCCGACCTTCGCGCCCAGGAGAGGGGGCCGACGCGTGAAGGCCGGCGGCGCCACCGGCCTCCTCGGCATCGCCAGGGAGAAGCTGGGCGAGGAGGAGGACACCGAGGACGACGCGGAGGAGGACGGCGAGGAGGACAGCGACGGGGAGGACGAGGAGGAGGACAGCGACGCCAGCGAGGGCAGCGCCGAGGTCCTCGAGTGCGAGGACGAGGAGGAGTTCCGGGAGGTGCCGGCGGCGGAACGGGCCGGCTTCGGGGGCGGCCCAGAAGGGGGTGGTGCTCACGGGGGGGGTATATCGTGGCGGGGGCCACGATACCGGCCAGATTTCACGGCCCCGTCTGCTCCTCTCAGGTCGTCTCCAGGCCCCTCCCCCCCCCTGGGCCGAGCACTCTCCTCAGGCCACGAGTTGCGACGCACCCTCTCGGACGCCCCCCCCCGTCTTGGACGCCCGCGGCGGCTGGTGGGGCCACCCCTCCCAGCGGCGGTCTCCTGCCCATCGGGCCCCTGGGGGGCCTCGCGGCGGGGCCACGTCCAGACCGTCCCCGCCTCGCCGCCGGAGGTGATGCGCGTGCTGGGGCTGCAGCCGGCCACGCTCATGGACAATGGCGACCTGAGGCCGCGGCGGCCCCGCCACTCTCTCCTGCTCGTCGTCGTCGCCCACGTGCTCGGCCTCCTCTCCCTCGTCCTGCTCTCCTGGGCTGTGGGGCTGCATATAGCTCTGCACCCCCCCGGCTGTCGAGCTAGCTCGTGCACCCTGCCTTCGATGAAGGCGGATCCGATCCGAACCTCTAATTTTTGGCCGAGGGAAGGCAGCGCGGCGACGAAGCATCTCGTGCCGTGTCCGGTGCCCGCGTCAGCGCCCGCAGGCGGGGGAAAGCATCGGCCTCACCCGGTGCGGGCCTCCGTGTTTCTTTTCAGCATCACATCCGCCTCACTGGGATGTTCACCTCTTCCTCTTCCTTTTTTATTGTAGATCGTCCTTATGTTTGTTCTTGTTGTTGCTGCTGTTATTGCTGTTGTTGTTGTTGTTGTTGTTGTTGTTGTTGTTGTTGCTGTTGCTGTTGCTGCTGCTGTTGTTGTTGTTGTTGTTGTTGTTGTTGTTGTTGTTGTTGTTGTTGTTGTTGTTGTTGTTGTTGTTGTTGTTGTTGTTGTTGAACATTATTTCTTCTTAAGAATAATTATTGTTGGGACCCCTGGTGCGCGCCCCCCCCCGCCGCGCCTAGGCCGCAGCCACATTTTCATCATTTTCGTGAGGAAGTCTCAGGCAAAACGGGGGCGTCCGGATCCGGTTGTTTTGTTGTCCCCCGCTTTCCCTTGCAAAAAATAAGCTAAAGTGGACATTTCTTGTTCTAACATAACCAAACTTCAAGAATCCCTTGCAAAAAATAAGGTAAAGTGGACATTCGCGCGCGCAAGACGAAATCCTTCCAAAACCTTAGTTTTCGTAGCGATTTTAACATAAAAACATCAAAAAACCAATGGTTTTTCAAAAAAAAACTTGTCAAAATTTCATCCCGCGCGCTCTTGCGGATTCGTAGGAAACCCAACACTTTTTAAACATTTCTGTCAAACGGGCTTTTGCGAGCAACTTTTTCGAACTTCTGCAACAACGGTTGCGCACCTGCCAGGGCCATCATCCCTGTCAAATAATACCATGCGGGACACATTCGTTTTTTCTTCGCGCGCGCACGCCGTCGTCGTCGGCCGCGGGGCCCTGAATAGTAGCCACGGTCGTCCGCATGCCACGAAGTGAAGTGTCCGAACGTCATAGGGCGGGAAGCTGGGTGTGGGTGGTGGCGAAGAGTCGTTTGGAAATTTGGTAGAGCTTGAACCGGCCCCCCCACAAAGTGGGGGTATTGCCCGCCTCCTATGAAAACCCTGGCACTGGTGAGAACGGAGTGTCCCCACGTGCTAGTAATTGTTGTTGTTGTCGTTGTCGTTGTCGTTGCCGTTGCCGTTGCCGTTGTCGTTGTCGTTGTCGTTATCGTTGTTGTTGTTGTTGTTGTTGTTGTTGTTGTTGTTGTTGTTGTTGTTGAACTCTCATTTCTGAAGAATGATTATTGTTGATCCCCCCCGTCTGGTGCACATTGTTTTTTTCGATTGAAGTGCCCTTCCCGGGGCTCGCACCCTGTTTTATATCAGGGAAAATCTTGAGGGTCAAAGTGTGTTGTTGGCCCCCGGTTTGCAACAACAGCGGCTCCCGTCTGATATTTCCTCACAGTTTGTTGAAGAATCGCGCTCTCGCTTGGGACTTCCTTGTAATTTACCACCGGATCGCGGCTCCCGCTGGATACTCCTTCACAATTTATTGAAGAATCGCGCTCTCACTTGGGGCTTCCGCGCTCCTTTCGACACGGTTGCAGTTCTCATTATCTTTCCGCCCCACTTTCCCAAGGTCCCGCTTCTTTTCAGGGTTCCACGAAATTTGTTTCTGACACCCGTTCGCAACTGTACGTCCCCGCGTGGGGGTATCCACGATATGTTCTTTCATGGGGGTGGTACGTGGCTCTGTTTATGCGACCCATGGCGTAACTTATTGTTACCCTGTGTTGGAGTGGCCGGCGCAAGCCTTGGCGAAAACTGAAACGCCACTCACAGCGCAAATCATCGTCCCCCCTCCTTCTTGCCCCTCCCCTTCCTTCCTCCGATCCGCTCGTCCTCATTCTCCCCCAGTATCTGTTACCCTTCGTTTTCAAGGGCTTCACCAACCACGCGTGGCAGGGAATGAATGTACCCCCCGCCACGGGGCACGATCGAAGACGAAGAGGGCGGGTATCCAGGGTTTGGGATATGCATGTTGAATTACACGCGAGCAGATCAGAGCGAACAGACTTAATGTTGTTGTTGGTGTTGTTGTTGTTGTTGTTGTTGTTGTTGTTGTTGTTGTTGTTGTTGTTGTTGTTGTTTTAAGAACAATTATTGTTGATCCCCCCCTGCCCTCCCGGGGTTTGCACTCCTTTTTTTGGGGGGGTATTACAAAGGAGAGTGAGTTGTCACCAAACTGGGCCCCTGGCCCTGGGTCTACAACAGCAACGGCTCCCGCCTGATATTTCCTTACAATTCATTACAACATTTCGCTTTCGCGCAGGACTTCTTCATACATCGTGCAACATTTACTCGCACGCTGCGCCCTCGACACTCAGGAACCACGCTCTCCCTTTGGATTTCTTGACGATTTATTGTGGAATCGCGCTATCGCTCGAGAACTCCTCGCGATTCATGCAGGACGCACGCTTCAGCAACCCGCTTGCTCGACCTGGCCGTCGGGGCCCGCCTTCCCGATCCGCCCGTTGGGGTCTACTCGCCCGATTTGCCCGTCTGGTTATGCAAGGTGCTTTCTGCTTCTGGACCCCCTCCTGCTATTCTCTCGCGTGCTCCCTCCTCTCTGTTCCTTGTCCCTTCCTTCCATCCGGCCCTGCCCTCCTCCTTCCTTCCGGTCCATCCTTCCTTTCCTTCCCTCCTTCCATCCGGTCCATCCTTCCTTTCCTTCCCTCCCTCCTCTCTGTTCCTTGTCCCTCCTCTCTGTTCCTTGTCCCTTCCTTGTCCCTCCTCTCTGTTCCTTGTCCCTTCCTTCCATCCGGCCTCTTCTCCTTGCCGCAGGGGCTGCATGACATGCACGTTGCAGATAAGAGAGATCTGCTCCTAAGGGGGCACGGTCGAAGACGAAGAGGGCAGGCCTCGAGGGTTAGGGATATACGTGATGAGCTGTGCTCGAGCAGATAAGAACGAGCAGTCTTGTACTGAATGTTGTTCAAGTTGTTGTTGTCGTTGTCGTCGTCGTCGTCGTCGTCGTCGTCGTCGTCGTCGTTGTTGTTGTTGTTGTTGTTGTTGTTGTTGTTGTTGTTGTTGTGGTTGTGGTTGTGGTTGTGGTTGTTGTGACTGTGGTTGTGGTTGTTGTTTTTGCTGTTGTTTTTTGTTATTGTTGTTGCTGTTCTCGTACTACTGAAGAATATTTTTTGTAGATCCCCCCCCGGCGCACATGGCATTTTTCAATTGAAGTGCCATTCTAGGGCTCGCACCCAGTTCTTATCAGGGAAAGTCGTGAGGCTCAAACTGGGCCCCTGGCCCCCGAACTGCAACAACAACGGCTCCTTCCTGATACTTCCTCACACTTTGTTGGCCCCCCCCCGCTCCCGCATGGGATCTCCTTGCAATTTACTCGAGCATCGCGCTCTCGCCTGAGACTGCCTCGCAATTTTACAAAAGCGCCGCGCTCTCGCCATTCTGGAAGTGCGCTCTCGCTTTGGATTTCCTTGCAGTTTACTTGGTAATTGCGCTCTCGCCCGAGACTTCTTGGCGCCCCGCCCCGCCCGCCCGCCCGCCCGCCCCGCCCCGCCCGACCCGCCCCGCCCGCCGGGGTCCGCCCGCCTGGCCCGCCTCGCAAGGCCCGCGGTCGCCCCTCGCTGCTTTTCGCCCGCTCCGCTGCCCCTCGCTGCCCCCCGCGATGCCGCACGCGCGGGCGAGGCAGCACAGCGCGAGTTCCTGCCCTACACCTTAGGCGATGCTTAAGAAAACCTAAGTTTTCGGCCAGAGTCTCGATTATTCTTAACGTTTCAATGTAAATCCCAAGATTTTGATAGAAGTTCTGGGTTTTTATTCCAGTTCTGAGACTCTGAATTTCTTAACCCATGGTTTCTTAAGCATTTCGCAGGGTGTACCCCGTGTCCGGTTTCTTGTCCCCAGTGTCTCCTTAGATGAAACGATCGGCCGGAATGTGCTAAACGGCTGGACTCCTTATGAACCGAGAAAAAAAACAGTCGGATTCGAAGGCCCCGCCGGTGCCTTCGTGGCCTCCTCGGTGCCTCTCGTGGCCCCGCCGTTTGGGACCCTTGAGGCCGTTGGTGGCCCCGCGGCCGCCTTTCGTGGCCCCTCTCGCGGACCTCCGTGGCCCCGATGCAGCTCTTCGTGGCCCTCTCGCTGCCCTTCCCGGCCCCTTTTTTGCAGCCCTCAAAGGCCCCCTCCCGTTCAAGGGTTTTCCTTTTTCGGGCGTCGTCCTCCGTCTTATCCCTCTCTCTCTATTCCCCCCTTCCTTCCTATCTCCCTTGCCCGAAACTCGTGGAGCAATGGAGAAACCCGCCTGCCCCCCCCTTCCGGTGAAACGATAACGCGCTCAACGCCCTGAAGCGTTATCCTGGCACCATGGCATTCGGCCGTTGCTCAGCACTCCTCTTGAGCCCCCAACAACCTTCGAAAGTGGCGATGAGGAGGACGAGGATGAGGAGGACGAGGAGGAGGAGGAGTGCTAGTAGTACTACGGTTACAGTATTTCCGCCGGTAAGCTGTGAATTGGGGTTACTAATTTAATTCGGGCAGCGTTCTAAGTTCTACTATTCTTACTACTACCGCTAATACTAGTACTTTAACTAGGAGTACTATTACTACTACGACTACTACTGCTACTACTAATGAGTAATATCAGGACTGCTACTACCGCTAATGATGTGGCATTTATTATTGCTATAATTGATATTACTACTGCAGTTGCTACTACCACTCCTATTACTACTACTACTACTACTACGACTACTACGACTACTACTACTACTACTACTACTACTACTACTACTACTACTACTACTACTACCACGACTACTACGACTACTATTACTACTTCT